CGATTATTACGCCAATATGGCGGCTGGCTGTGCTGGATGAAAGGTACGGAGCCCGGAGTGTAAATGATCTCTCTCTCTCTCTCTCCCTCTCTCTCTCTCTCTCTCTCCTCTCCCTCCCTCGGAGCCATGCGTTTGTTGACATGTTAGAAACAAAGCAGCAAGAGAGAGTATTGTAGTTTTACTGGCATCTATATTTTCAAACAATTTTAATGAAATAGTGTGGTTAATAATACTAGTAATTACATAGTTTATATTTCAATTAAATTATTATATAGTCTAATATGAAAGAAAAATATTAATGCTCTGTGATGTCTGTTATCCTGAGTGGGCTTGTTCCCAGTAAACGTTTTGTTCTTTGCAGTCAGTGCACTCCTACAAATAAAAGCTGTAGTTGTTTTTTAAGGAAAAGGTCAACTAGCGTATTTGAAGAACTATTGCCCAACTCATACAGATACATAACACATTAAAACAGGATTTTTATGTTTTATTTTTTTTATATCTCCTCCTACACCGTAGCTCCAATTGCCACCAAATTTTCTCTGGATCATCATTGGCCTTAGCTTATATAAAGTTGTATAAAGCTTGTTGAAAGCTCCTTTCCTTTTCAAGAAATGTAAACATGTAAAGGGTGTGGCTCAGGACATAAATAGACAAGAATCCGCAAGCGTTGGTCCAATCATCACAAAACTCACAGGATATGTCCACATGAGTGCCAGAAATATGCCCTGAAAGTTTCATTCAAATCGACCACTAGGTGGCGCTTTAAATGCATCGTAACTGGATGTGGAATGATACAAATCAAGCTATAGATCAGAAAATGGTTGTCCAGTTGTTACAAAACTTGCAGGATATGTTATATATGTTATATGTTATATGTTATGTTATAACAATTTTGAACCGTATGTGTGAAATTATTTTGATGGCGATATTGCGAAAAAAGGTATGAACCCGTGAATCGCCGCTTGCTATATATGTCGGAGGTGGATGAGAACAAGACAGAGAACAGAGTTTCAAAGCTTGTTCAGCTGATATTAACACAGAGAGGGAATCAGCTGTACATCCTGCTGACATCGAGGAGTCTGCGTTCTTGTGTGTGTTTCCTTGTTGATTCAGTTATTTGTAGCTACAGGTGAAACAGTGACAGGGGAGGGCCCCCTGAGGCTGCATATGTACGGGGCCTGGTTTATGTGCTGTCTTTTATTGAGACCTATAAACAATATTTTGTTGTTTTCTGTCCCCAGGTGCAGGTCAGCAGGAGCTCCACCGTGGTGACCAGTCAGTACTGAGAGGTGTCAGTTCTCCTCCTGGGCGCTGCCGAAGTATCCTGAAACAGGGCCCTGTAATCTGTATAAACAATAACAGCAGAGTGAATGCTGGTGGATTACAACAGTATGCTGATTCCAGGCAGGAGCCCCACAGTGAGGCTTCACTGCTCAATCTGTGACCCACAAGTCAAGACAGATTACGTCTGATGGGATCGCTGACTGCAGTCTGACCTACAATCTGCTGCGTTCTCGCCGCCATCTCCCTGGGCAAAGGTTTCCATAGAAACGAGCCCCGGGTTCCTCTAATCTGTTGTTTTCGGCCTCATCTGGAGGAAGGCTGGTTCCTTTTTGTCAGGCCAACTTCTTCTGCTCTATTTACTCTGTGAGCCCACTCACTCTCTCTCTCTACCTTCCTCTTCCTCCCTCTCTCCCTCTCACTCTCTACATCCCTCTCTCCCTCTTACTGTCTCACTCTCTCCCTCCCTCTCTTTACCTCCTTATCTCCACCTCTCTCTCTACCTCCCTCACTCCCTCTTACTCTCTCTCTCTACCACCTCTACTTCCCTCTCTCCCTCTTACTGTCTCACTCTCTCCCTCCCTCTCTTTACCTCCTTATCTCCACCTCTCTCTCTACCTCCCTCACTCCCTCTTACTCTCTCTCTCTACCTCCCTCTACTTCCCTCTCTCCCTCTTACTGTCTCACTCTCTCCCTCCCTCTCTTTACCTCCTTGCTCCCTCTCTCTCTCTCTCTCTCTCCCACTCCCTCCTTCTCCCTCTCTACTTCCTTGTCTCTCTTTCTCTACCCCCCCACCACACCGTCTCATGTGTTATGAAATAGCTCAGACAGTCTGTGGACGTAACAGCAGCTCAGTCACCAAACTCTCTAAAACATTTAGTCATATATAGATCCTATAGGTCCTCAGGTTCTAGACCTAGGTAGAGGGTAGGCCTTCAGGAAAAGGGGTACATGGCACAGGGTAGAGAGTACAGGATAATGGGTTCCAGGCACAGAGTTGAGGATACAGAATAACGGGTTCAGGGCACAGGGTAGAGGGTAGGCCTACAGAATAAAGGGTTCAGGGCACAGGATAAAGGGTAGATGGTAGACCTTCAGGAAAAAGGGTACATGGCACAGGGTAGAAAGTACAGGATAAAGGGTTCAGTGTACATGATACAGAATAAAGGGGACAGGATATAGGACACTGGCTAGAGGGTACAGGATAAAGGGTAGGCCTACAGGAAAAAATGGTATGGGGTAGAGGGTACAGAATAATGGGTTCAGGGCACGGGGTTCAGGGTAGAGGGAAGGCCTACGAGGAAAAGGGTACAGTGTAGAGGGGACAGAATAATGGTTTCAGGGCATATAGCACAAGGTAGAGGGTACAACATAAAGGATACGGGGCACAGGTTAAAGGGTGCAGGTTGGTCTTCAGGAAAAAGGGTACATGGCACAGAGTAGAGGGTACAGGATAATAATGTGTTAAACATGTCGATTCTTTGGAGCTTTTGAAACATCGTAAAACGATTTATGATTTTTAACGGCTGAAAGCAGTTGAAGAGTGAGAGATAAGTGCAGTTAAAATGTCAGTTAAATAGAGATAGTTAAATGTGGTTGAAGTGTCAGATGTCATCTAACCAGTGAAAGTGTCTGTTGAAGAAAAGAATGTGGTCGTGAGATGATTAACAGAAGAGGAACGAAGTAAAAAGACAAATAAAGTTTTGCTACAAAACTCTGATATTTCAAGGAAACCCTGTGAGAAGTTTAGAAATGTGAGGACGGCCCAACCAGACGCAGGAAGCCAAGCATGTTGTGAACCATTGATTTAATATTTTACAATATATTGTATTTTACAGGCCTATATGTGTTTTATTAATTAAGAAAGTAATTATAGCTGTAAAACAAATGAAGGGTTTTACATTTGAATTGTGGTGAAGTATAACATAGCAGAAGATAGAAATAGGCCTACATCAAAGTTAGCTTAGTTACTTTTCACCGCTGGAAATAAACAGTCTATCTAATAACTGGTGTGATTATTTGATTGACAGCACTTTAACAGAAGCCCACAGTAGGACATCTTCTGGTGGATTTTCAAAGTAAAGCTCGCTAGGATCCGGCCAGCGGTGCTGTTTCGCCGTTTGTTCCGCTGTGTTCCCGCCCCTTCCTTTTGGTTTCGCCCAAAGTGGCCCGAGCAGCAGCTCCTCAGCCTTTATCCCTCTGTTGCCGCTGCCGAGGATGATGCGGGTGATGAGGAGGATGCTCTGCAGCTCTGAATGAAGCCACAGTCGATGGCCCGCTGCTGGACGGCTGCGCGATGAAAGCGTTGGCTCTTTACGGTCAGACACCGGGAAGAAGAACTCTCATTATGGATCTCTTATATTTCCTCTGGATGCTGCCGGCGGTGTGGGCTGTCGAAGGTGAGCCGATGTTTAACTCTTCTTCCATTGAATGTCTGAGTGTGTGCGGACATCATGAATGTAGAACCACAGCAGACAGGAATGTTAAAGCTCGGTGCAAACTCGTTACTGCTGGAGAGGAATGAATCTTTAATTCATTATAGGCCGCCGAAATAATCTGCAGAAGGCTACAGCCGCGTTGTCTCGACAGGCATCATTATTATTATTATTATTGGGTCTATAGGTCCCCGCACTGTGATTGGTCACTCTGACCTGGTCCTGATCAGCGTGTATGCCTCTGCAACATGTGTGCTTATATAGGTTAGGCTGCTGTATTAAATATGCAGGACTATGTGAACAGCACATACAGTAAACATGCAGCTCTCCCCTGAGAGAGTGGTGAACCTCCAGGATGAGGATGAGTAGGAGCATTTATGGAAATTAATGGAAATCTACCCATGCATAAAAAAGACAATTATCATTTCTCCGCTGAGCAGCCGAACATTGTTCAAACCACAGAACTTTATGTTGAATTTTGTTGTTTCCAAAGAATTTGTCAAATGTTGTATGTGTAAAATATTTCCATTTGATGGTGCAGCCATAAAAACTATACTGAGTGTATCAACATCCATCCATCCATCGTCAACTGCTTATCCTGCGTACAGGGTCGTTACTGTATCAATAGTAAACATACATCTTTGTATCAACAAGATGATACAAACACATATAATAGGATGGTGTTAACAGCCTTAAATCCTTCTTAAAGCATGTGATGTGGGACTTAAATGTGAGGGCTGTGGCTTCATAGTACATTTATATACTGTATATTTATGTATTTTCAGTATATATATTATTCATACCCATGCTAAATTTTAATTCAATAGGTTTCATCTGGCTGGAAATGACAATGACATAAACAAGTGACAAACACAGTAAGATGATGTGTTAGAGATGTTAATGATAAATCTTACCTATGTGTTTTTAAAAATTTCTACTAAAAATGCCATGCCTCAAATTATTCATACCCCCTAACAAAAATCTCAGTAATCAATGGCAAAGCCTTTATTTGCCATCACAACAAGCTTTTTGCATGTCTCCACTGGGATTTTGGACCACCCCTCTATTGCGATGATCTGCAGGTCTTTGAGGTTGGAAGGACTCCTCTGGCTGTATGTTTCAGACCATTGTCTTGTTGAAAGATCCAGTGTTGCTCAGATTCATCAGGATGGGATGGTGGTGATCCTTGCATTCTTCTTGGCCTCTCGCACTACCCTTCTTGCCAGGGCAGGGGTCACTTTTGGCTTAATACCACGCCCTTTGCGTGGTCTTACAGTGAGTGACTCCTTGTACTTTCTAAATATGCATTGCACTGTGGCCACCAGCACCTGAAACACTTGGAAATGGATTCCTAGCTTTTCCCTGTCTTGTGAGGAGCCACAATGTGCAGCTGGAGGTCCTCAGTAATCTCTTTAGTTTTAGACATGATTTGCAGTAACTAGAACTACTCAATTTATAGGTGATTAGAATGCTCATTAGAAATGGTAGAGAAAGTTGCATTTTCTCAAAGGTTTTCAATAATTTGAAGGGGTATGAATAACTTTGGGCATTTAATATTTAGTACAAATAAAATAAAACAAATAGGATTTATCATTAACATCTGTAACACATTATCTTACTGTCTTTGTCACTTGGTTGGTAAAATAAAAAATCACTATGAATCAAAATGTGGGAGATATTAATTTATATATATATATTACAATCTGTCTATCACCATAGTGGCCATCACCCCCCACATGCATCCCTGTACCCCCAACTCATTTTTCCCCAGAACTGCAGAAACCAGCCAGTTTTCCATCACTGGAATAATAACAATACATTTTCTGTCACCTAAGGACACTTAACATTAACAGGTCATACAGTTTATACATAGTTAAAGATAGAAGTTGCAAGTGCATTGATAAGATGCATATTATAAAAACAGAATACAAATTATGAAGCACCAGGAGAGGTTGGTCTAAAGATGTGAATTTTCAGCTTCGATTTAAAAGTATCTCCAGATGTGCACTGGTGCAAGCCCGGAATATTATACCGCCTCAGGTCATTGTCACACAGATGAACTGGGGCCCCCTGAGAGTCTCGGCACTCACCTGGCGTGGTTTGTAAAGCTGCCTTTTCTGACTGCTGTGTCTGCTGGATGAGTATCTGTGTCCTCTCAGTGCTCGCTGCAGCTGGCATGATGTTCACCTCTGCTTGTGATTTTCTAACAGCACATTTAAAACCCCAAAACTGAAACACAATGCTTTACCACAGAGACATTTCAGGCAGCCCAAAAGGTGCACTTATTTTTGCTCATTGTGGTTAGAGCTGCTTCTAAGTGTAGGCACCGGTGTTTTGGTTTTTGGGTGTGGTGATGGCACAGTGACCTCTGACATATATAGCAATTGTAAGTTGCTTTGGATAAAAGCGTCAGCTAAATGAACAAATGTAAATGGTCCTTGACCCATGCTGGGACTGAAAGTCAGGATTTCTCGGCCTCTTCTGCTGCTGACCTTTCTCTCTTCAGTCTGTCCTAACCTTATGGAAGACCTTGTAATGCTGCAGAGGACTGGGTTTTATTTTGAAAGGAAAAAGACATGTGACATTATTTTTAGATGTGAACATGTCTTTCATACCTAACATACATTAACCTGCTCTGCATCAGTGAACACGAGCCAGAGCTGAATAACTGGAAGTGAAGTTCTTTAATATTCAATTCAATTCAGTTTTATTTATATAGCGCCAAATCACAACAACAGTTATCTCACAGCGCTTTTCATAAAAGAGCAGGTCTAGACCGTACTCTGTGATGATATTTACAGAAGCCCAACAGTTCCCACCAAGAGCAGCACTAGGAGACAGAGGCAAGGAAAAACTTCCTTTTAAGAGGCAGAAACCTGGAGCAGAACCATGGCTCAGGGTGGGCGGCCATCTGCCTCGACCGGTTGGGGGTGAAGGAGAGAGAGAGAGAGGGAGAGAGAGAGAGAGAGAGAGAGAGAGAGAGAGAGAGAGAGATGTAAGGAGAGAGAGAGGGGAGGGAGGCAGCCAACACAATATACACACAGAGGTACACACAGTGAAGGTAATGTTGCTATAGACTAAATGAAAAATGGTACAGATATTTATAGTAGTGTTAATGGTAAGAGAGAGAGCGAGAGAGAGACTACACAGTATACACACAGAGGTACAGACAGTAAAGGTGATGTTGCTATAGACTAAATGAAAAATGGTACAGATATTTATAATAGTGTTAATGGTAACCATCGTAATGTTAATATTAAATAAGACATTAAACATCCCGTAGGCTGGTTTCAGATAGAACTTCATTTATTTATTTTCAGACTCATTTTACCAAAAGGAAAACACAAAGCTGACATCTGAGGACTGGAATCAGGAGTCTACACACAGCCTCTCTCTCAGGCTGGGAGTTGTTCACTTGTTGTCATCAGTAGGCTGCTGCAGTGATGATAAATCACTGAAGGGCTGGAAAGTTTCTTTCACAGCCTGTGAGTGTCACTTCACAGCCGTGCTAACACTGGAAGCAGATAAATGTGCTCATGTGCCTGAAACAAGTGCTCGTAACATCCTCAAAATTGATCTCTGTTCATGTCCCATCAGTAATGTTTGCTCTGGGTCCAGATCCTGTGAAGTGAAATCTTAATCCTGCAGCATACAGGGAGCTTCCAGCTGTTAGCAGTTTTTGATTTATTGAATTTTTTTTATTGGTTGTAAATATAAAAGTGGCGCGCCTCTAATAGGATGCCCCAACTACAAAACCCATCCAAATAAGCCAAAAAGCTTATTTCCGTTGTGATCATTTTTGGTGAAAATGCAACTGGTAGGTTGCTAGCAGCTTCTATCGTTTCTCTTTAAAAATAAAATTCAGTAACATTACAATATAATAATAATTATATATTGTAAACAGTTTTTGTTTGTCACAAAGCAGCTCCATAAATAAATGATTTTCCCAGTTTGGTGTGAAGGAACCAGACTGACTCCGCATCTGAAAGGAGGCTAATAATCCCTCATTGTGCAGGTAAACTGTAAGCACACAGTCTGAACTGTGATGGATGCTCACAACAGACAGTTTTAGTGAAGTCCAGTTATTACTGATGGGAATGATAGACAAAACAGTAGGATCCAAGTATTGGAGCCGAAGTTGTATTGCTCATAATTGCATTGTCTTGTTGCAGCCTTTGTTGTTGCTGCTGTTCACAGGAACAGTGCTGCGTGATAATTGTTTCCTTCACAGGAAGACTTGTGATTAGGCACAGTTCACAGGGCTGAGGAGAAACGCTCATCAGCCTGCAGGAGCAATATCAGATGCTAAGTCATTTATTAAATTCCTGCTGAGACAACGGCCCTGCTGTTTTTATTCACGTTATTACATTATACTGTTTTTCTTAGCTTTATTTTAGTATTTGAGATTGTTCCACACAGACTAACAGATGCTGGTTACTTCCTTTTCAAGTCTAACTGAAATTATATTTTATAATCTTTAGACTTGTAAAGAAGTGAAGATATTTAAATGTGACATATTGATGTTTCTCAGCAGGTGTACACTTTAGCTGCACAAGAGACCAGCAGGCAGTTCGGAGCACTTGACTTTATAAATCTGCTGCTGATCTGCTGGTTCCTTGTTGCTCATGATAACAACACCAGGGAGGTTCATGTTTCTATATGTAAATGCTCCGTATTTGTATAGCGCCTTTCTAGTCTTTTCGACCACTCAAAGCGCTTTTACACTACATCTGCATTCACCAGTCACACACATTCATACATTGAGCCTAAGTGGTTCAAACGGAAACTAGCATTCACACTCATTCATACACTGGCGGAATAGCCGCCAGGGGCAATTCGGGGTTCAGTATCTTGCCCAAGGACACTTCGACACGTAACTAGGGGGAGCCAGGGATTGAACCGCCGACCTTCCGATTAACGGCCAACCCGCTCTACCTCCTGAGCCACAGCCGCCCCTATATGTA